CAGTTTCATGCGTCGGGGACTTTGCATATGCTTCCCTTTGTCTGGAATTCTCTTCCCTGGCTAACATCAGGTATTTCCCTGCAAGGTCCCTGGAAACCCTTCCTAGGCAGCAGACCTGGAGCTCCTCCAGGCCACTTCCTCAGTCCTCTCTGATCTCCAATGCAGGGCAGGACCCTGGACAGAGACAAATGCTGGAATAGGAAGCACAGGTGCAAAACCAAAGGTTTCCCTCCGCATCTCCAGGATGGGCACCAATCGTCCAGTAGATGTGGCGTAGTGTAAATTTCAGTTCCCATCCTGGGATCAATTGAATCTGTGCTTCTTGCCACTCCAGTTTGGGCCAGGAAGCTTTTAGTATTCCATTTTTAAAAACACAACATTTCAGCACCAAAATGAATGCATTTTATTTATAGACACTGAAGCAGGTTGCCTCCTGCCCCCAACTCTCCTTCCAGAAGACAGTCTATCCCATGCATGTTTCCCAGATATGGAAAGCTACAGGGCTCCTTTCACAGCAGAAATAGTGTCCAGGGAAACCCCCCTGGCGGGTTGCTCCTACCCCATCCACATCTGAATGGACGCGGCAGGGAAGGGCCTGGGTGTCACGGAGGCAGTGCTTTGGAACTGAGCAACTGTCTCTGAACACCCATCCCACATGCGACTGGCCCCACAGTGTGTCCACCCTCCCAGTCACCTGGGTTTCCCCGCCCTCTGTGGCTGAATCAGGTGATGTCAAGAGGCAGCTAAAAAGTTGCTGTGGAATGGCCAGCCCAGAGCCATGAAAGGAGACAAGAGGCCGGATCCTGGGCCAAACCGCTCTTACAGAAAGCAAGAATTGTAGAGGACAACGAACAGAACCTTCTTCTGAGATCCTAAAGGAGACTGAGGAGGTGGTTCCTCTAACCTCCCTCAGGATTTGAAAGATCCACTTTTTGGGTTCCACTGGAGTTTAGAAATCCAGAGTCGGCTCCTCTTTCTTCTCCATGGACTGCAGGTGACTCTAGGGGCAGGTCTGCATCTCTGGTGTCCCTCCACACCTCCCACGCTCATTGGACTTTACTGAGGTTCAGTGCTGGGCACCAGGAAAAGAAAGTGCTCCACCTCTGAGGGGGCACTGGTGAGCCAACCATGCCTAGAGGGTGCCAGGTGCTCTGACCCTCAAATCCTGCTTAAATGTCACCTTCCAAGTAAGGTCTTCCCGACTTCCCCATTTTAATATTGCAGCCCCCATCCTGGCATGTCCTCTGCACCACTCTGCTCTATTGCCACCTAATAGACTGCAAATTTTACCCGTTCAATTGAACACCTCTCTCACCCCCCTAGAACGTAAGCACCCTGAGGGGAGGCATTTTTGTATTACTCACTGACAAATCCCCAGGATCTAGAACAGGATTGGCACATAGTAGGTGCTCAGCAAATGCCTGATCCAAGCATTCATTCAGCAAATGCCTTCATTCAGGAATAAAATCTGCAAATGCAGCATGCATTTTGTCAATGTTTGCTATTGAAAGTGGGGTCTTTAGGCAAGTGAAGTAATTAATAGCCACTTGTTAGGTTCCCAAATAGTGCTGGGCGCTGTGAGGATATAAAAGCTCTGATGTCCAGCCAGGCACGGTGGCTCATGCCTGTAATCCCAGCACTTTGGGAGGCGGAGGCGGGTGGATCACCTGAGGTCAGTTGTTCGAGACCAGCCTGGCCAACATGGCGAAACTCCATTCCTACTAAAAAATACAAAAACTAGCCAGGCGCGGTGGTGCGTGTCTGTAATCCCAGCTACTCGGGAGGCTGAGGCCGGAGAATCGCTTGAACCTGGGAGGCTGAGGTTGTGGTGAGCCAAGATCGCACCATTGCATTCCAGCCTGGGCGACAGAACGAGACTCTCAAAAAAAAAAAACTCTGATGTCCATCCACCACTGGCTTCCTGTTGCCTTTGGAATAAAATAGAAATTCCTCCCACTGTGGCCCCTGCCTACCTCACCTCCCTCTGCTTCTCCAGCACACACCAGGATATATCTTCACCGGCCTTAAGCTCCTCTATGTTCCAAGCTTGTTCGTGCCTCAGTGCCTTTGCACTTGCTGACCTTGTTGCTGGATCTCAGTGAGAATGTCTCTTCTTCTCATAGTCCTCCCTGTCCCCCCCAAACCAGTTACCCCGCAAATCAATACCCACCTCAGCTCCGTTTTGTCATCTGCACTGCCTGAAATGATCTTGATCATTTATTTACTCGTAGAACCAGTTTCTTGGAGAATCTCAAATCCATGGGCTCTGAAACAAAACCATTTTACTTTTTCCTGATTACTTTTTTCCATCAAGCTCTGCAGAGGTCCCCTTCCCACTGGGTCTTCCTAGCAGACTGATCCTGACACGTTTCAGACCATCCTAGTCACTGAAAGGCAGGCCAGGTCAGCTCAAACCCCCGGAAGTGTTTGTTCAAATCTCTTTTCCAGAAGGGTGGGGAGGGGAGCAAGGTCTTTTCTTCCTCTGTTTGGAGTAACTTGGAACAGAGGGGCCAGGAAGGAGCTGCGCGTCTTCTGCACAGGCCTCCTCTGGGTCCAGTTCCATCTGTTGTTATCTCCGTGGTGGTGGGGGGCGGGGGAAGTGCCTGGTCGTTTTGGGGCCGAGCCTCCTCTGTTGCTGCGGTCTCCTCAGGAAGGGGCAACCATATTCCCCTCCAGCCCTGCCAGTGAAGAGGCCCCCTACCCTTTTCCAGGTGGGAAACAGCTTCCTTTGTCAGTACCTGTCTGGCCGGCCACACGACTCCACTCCACGTGGGTCCTTCTAGAAGCCCTCCGTGGAACACCTGTGCCGCCCTTCCAGATGTGGTCCTTGCTTTTCCTGCTCCTGGTGCAGGCTTCTCCCCAAGCCTCTCCCCCACGGAACGCCTCCGAGAGGGGACCAAACAGCTCTGGGGATGTGTGCTGAGCTTCCCAAGGGCGCCCTTGCCACCCTGTGCTGCAGCTGGCACCAGGTTCCTGCAGCTCAGAGAGCATCCGACTGGGGTGCCGTCCCAGCCTCCTCTTCCTGGCAGCATCCTGTCTCAGGAGGATCCTCTTGGGCCTCCTTCCCTTGGCGGGGCAAGGGGGTGACGGGGGGGCACCCACTCACCAACACAGTGGTCACCCTCACTCCCGTCTCTCTTGACCATTCGAATCTTATACAGACAGGGAGGAGCGGGGAGCAGGGGGAGGAGGAGCTCACAGCAGCAAGACTAATTCTTCCGTCTTTACTAGGGCCATGGGGAAGGGGGCTGGCCCTAAGCTTCCGTATCTCTTTAGGAGGTGGTTTACTTAGCATCTTTGTTCACAGCTGTGGTCCTGGTAACCAATTCTGGAGCAACTGAAAATGAGCCCGCTGCATCCCTTTGGTTATGGTGAGCCTTCCCTTTCAGGAGATGTGGCACAAAACGAGCAGCCTGGCTGCTAGTGCCTAGGAAAATACCCAGCAAATGGTAGGCCCTTGGTAACGACTTGCTGAAGGCGTGACACGGCCGCTACAGTGGCTTCATGTTGAGTAACAGGAAGAGAAGGGGGATGCGAGAGCCTGACCTTGGCTGACACCGTGTGCCCAGATGCCCTGCACACCCGTTACTTCACTTCTCACAGTGACCTTGAGAGGCAGCCTAACCCCCACCTGCTCCCAGCCAAGCTCGGAAGGAGGCAGAAGAGGATGGCGGCTGGGAGCCGGGCTCTGGCGTCCATGATCCTGGCTCGGCCACCCCTTGGCTAAAGTGTCTTAGTTCTCTGACTCCAGCTCCTCATTTGTAAAAGGGGGATGGTGAGACTCTGCCCTGTAAGGACTAAATTAGCGAATATATGACATGTGCTTAGCTCGTGTAGAGACATGGCAGGTCGTAAACAGGAACCAGGGCAATTTCCATCATTATCATTGGGACAGGCCCAGGTCGGTCCACCCCAATGCCGGCACTCTCTGCATGACGCCCCTCGCTCCTCTGGAGGGAGAGTGATGAAGTCCTCTGGGGCATGGGGGCTGAAAGAAGCCGAGACCCCTGGGGGAAGGTGACAGTCAGGGAGGCCTTGGATGCCAGACCTTGGCCGGCAGCCTGATGTAAAAGGCGATGAGGCACCTCTGTGGGTCTTTAATCAGGGCAGTGAGATGATGAAAGTGGTGTTTTAGAAGATTAATCTGGCAGCAGAGACAGGATGGAGAACAGTCAAGCTCAGTGGAAACGATGATGCCGGTTGCCCAGCTTCCAGAGGAAGGCGGGAGCCCTGGCCTTCCTGCACTCAGCCTTCCCTACAGCCGTAGAGGCCGGGCCCTCCACCAAGAGACAGGCACCAAGGGAGGCCGGCAGAGGGCACTGTTCTGCCGGTGACGGAGCCACCTCCAGGGAGGTCTGGCATCTGGCTAGCCAGGAGCAGGCAGCAGAATGGACTCTGTCAGCATAAGGAGGGGGCCATCAGCCCCGTCTCAGCCTCAGGACAGGTTCTGAGCTGGGCATTTCAGCTGTGGGAAACTGTAAGCAAACGCTGGGCCAGGCCCTTTCAAAACCCACCGTGGGCTTCACTTTTGCCGTGGGAGGCCCTTTAGGGAGCTGGTGCGCCCTGCCGCGCAGAGTGGGCAGGTCCACCCCCTCAAGCAAGGAGACGTCCCGAAGCACCAGCCTCACAGAAGGGAGGGCCAGGGTTCCAAGTGGGGCTCCCGGCTGCCCTGGAACCGGCAGTGACGCAGTGGCCAAAGTGTACAGTGGAACTAGGGCCACCCAGGCCAAGAGTGAAAGGAGCCGCTGCTTCGACATTTTCTCCTCATTTTATTTAAAGCCGTCATTATACATTAAAAGTGCAAAGGTAATTCTGTCTTCTCCAGTTGTGCAGCACGATCTGCTCCAGCTGTTCACGCCAGCGCCTGGAAAACCTCCACCTTCTCCCGGTAGAGCTGGTGGAACTGCTTAGCCAGGCAGTGGAAAGGGGCTTCGAAGTTTTCCATCTCCTTCTGGAAAGACAGTTTAAAGAGTTGGCTGTGTTACTTTTAGAAGGGTCAGAGGCCCAGCACTCACTCCATGCTTCCCTCATTCAGGGGCTACCTACTTTCCACCTCATTTCATCCTCATACCCTTTGGGGTAGCCACTTTGATGGATGCCAATTTTACAAAAAGGAAACTCAGATGGATTCAGGAAACTCAGAGATGAAGGTACCTTGCAGGAAGCCACACACCTTGTGAATGGTGGAGCTGGGGCCTGAACCCACGTCTGTTTCTACAAAGCCTGTGCTTTTAGTTGTAGTCACTGTATGTGTGATGAGATGTGAAAATGAGACCCTTCCTGTCTTAGTTTTGACTGAGGCTCCAAACGCCAAAGCAAAATACCAGGCAACCAGGAGCCCCCCATCCCGAAGAAGAGCCAGACAGCACGGGGCACCCTCTTCCTAGGCTGGTGCTGGACCCAGGCCTGGGAGGAATCGAGGTGAGGTGGCAGCTGGGCAAGCCAGGAGAGGGCTGCCAACGAGACGGCCTCACTGCCTCCTTTGTCAAACTAAACGGCTGCAGTGGCACTTCCCTGGACCAGCGGGGGCCAAGTGGCGCCAGCCTGGTGCTGTCTTAAGGGGCCTCGGCTGGAACCGCCTCAGGGAGGGTGATGGATCCCAATAAGAATGAACAGCCAGGAACCGGGGCTGCAGGACGGGTGAGGGGGCACCGCCTGTGAGAAGCAGCCTGCAGGTGAGACAGCGCCACTGATGGGGTGGGGAGGGGCATCTCAGAGGCGTCCACGGGGCACCAGCCGGATCCACCCAGCAGGTATGGAGCGGGCCATGACAGACCCCAACAAACACGCTGCACTACTGGCTCCGGTCTCTCCCTCCCGAAGACTGTGAGAGGAGGTGCGACTTCAAATGAAGTTCAGAATTTTGACAATCACCCAGGGCTGGGCACTTTATACCTGAAATCATGACTATTTTTGTGACTAAAGGGGCCGAAAAGAATTTTTGTTACCTGAGAGAGAAAAGAGAAGTTAAGGAACTTGCCCTAGATTTTATCTAAGGGGTGGAAAAAATGGGCCCCTCCAGGTGCGCAGGGACAGGCTGGAGGCGAACGGAAACGGCAACCTCTCACTTCACAGCCACTCTCGCTCTGTGGGGACACGTGTGCATTCAAAAACTTTTTCAGAAACAAGCTGGCAGAAAAAGGAATGTACTACTTTCAAGACAGTAGCTCAAGCTATGAATGCACTAAGGACCTGTTTTGAGACGATCCCTGGCAGCTGGCAAAAGTGCAACCTTGAGAAGAGGCCGTGAAATATCCCCAGCGAAACAGAAGGATTTCCAAACTGAAGAACGCTGCACAGAAGGCATCAAGCGCGGTGCTTTCGCTGCACAGGTGAGTCGTCTGGGGCCCAGCAGGTGAAGTGGCCCAGCTGGCTGGTTCGGAGCCCAGCCCAGCATCCAGATTCTCTGATTTGGGAAGAGCTACGTTTCCTCGAGGCCAGCTGGGATGAGAGAAATGTGCGAAGGAAACCAGGTCCCTTGGAGAAAGTTACCTGGACTTTCTAGACAGGGAAAGCCTAAGCAAATAAAACAGTTGGCCAAGAGGAAAGACAGCGGTGGCAATGCTGAGAGAGTGTAGAGGAAAGAGTGGAGCGTTTGTAGCCCGGACGAACATTTACAGTAAGCGCCCAACAGCCAAAGACTTGAAGGCCATCAACCTCCAGCTGGACATGAGAGCAAGAATTCAGTACATCCTGCCGGGCGCTGCTGTTTGTGCAGAGCACAAGGTCCCAGGCAATGCCAGTGTCGGGGTAAAACACTGCTTCCGTCAAAAGCAGAGTTAAGAGTGGAATGGAAAAAGACTGAGGCCTGCATAGCGCACGCACAGGGATTTCTAAATGGATTCGAAAACACTCAAAAACGCAATCTTGGGAGATCTCAACATAAAAAGGAAGGAATTCAATGCAGGTGAGCCTCAATAGACACCACGGTGTGCTTCTGAAATAGATGGAAATTGAACTATTTTCCAAATACGTGAAGAGGGTTGCCAATGACAGGAATCCTTTTGTCTGATCACTAATCATCATCTCGCTTACCCAGGCAGGACAGCTGTGGAGTACGTCTGTTTAGAGTGAGGGATTCTCAGGGCAGGTTCAGGCTAGTGTTCAGTCTGGCCTAGAATTGTGTTCTGCAGAGTCCCAAAGCAGGCTCTGCGGGAGGCCAGGGTACCCCTTCTAGAAAACCCAAGTTTTCCAGCTGGACAGGCCTGACCCCTAGTCCTGTTTCTAGCCCTTGTTTAACCGTGCGACCAGGGCAAGCTACACAACTTTTCTGAGTCTGTCATCTGTACAACACAGGAGTGTTACGTTGTAGGGCTGTTATGAAGCCTAAACAAATAATGTGTGCAAAACACCTAGCACACAGTAGGCCCTCAATGAACATTACTTCCCCACTCCTCGCTTGCCTGGGAGGGCAGTGATCACCGTGGACTGTTCTTCCACTTGTCTGTAGGGACCTTCTTTGGGTCAGCAGGATGGTCACTGCGGCATTTAGGCAGAGGAGAGAAGGAGATGGGCTTGGCATCAGGCCTTGGCTGCGTCTCAAGCTGCGTTTGGTTATATTTCCTTTTTAATTACAGCTTTCTTAACTGAGCTGCCAGTGGTGCTTCTGTGAGCCTCAACTCAGGGGGGACTAGTTAACTTGCACAGATAATAGCAGTGCTTACTGCAGCCTCTTCAAGCATAGTTTATACCCACCCACTTCAACACCTGAATAGAGTTTAACCGGTAGCCCACTGGCCTTTGGTGACTCATGTTTTGGAGGTTGGGGTGGGTTTTAATTTCCGAGTTCTATCAAGTGTTCCAGGGAATATGGAATATTGGGGTGCGGGGACAATTTCACAAATGAATGGAGGAAGGGGGAATACTGAAATCCTGTTTGCTAGGGCACTACTGCCTACTGCTTTGCACAAAGGTGTGCTGCAGAAAAGATGAGGAACCTACTGTACAGGAAAAGCTGATTTGGACTTCATTAATTTAGCATTTGTGATAATTGGACCAGGGGCAAGGGTGATATTTACCTCTGCACAAGCCATGAATACAAGGATTTAGTAAGTAATAACAGTATAAACAAGATTCCAGGGGCAACATTTATACTTTAAGAAAGCTAACATCTACTGAGTGTTTACCAGGCGCCAGACTTTGTGATCCGTGTTTTATATGCACCATATTACTTGATTCTCATATTTATTACTCAATGGGGATGTATTTTATTATCCTCATTTTACAGGCCTGAGGCACCAACAGTTGAAATAACATGTCCAGGTTCCCACGGCGAGTTCTCCTGCTCTCCATGGGAGGTCAGAGTGCCTGCCTTTACCACTGAAAGGAAGCATGCTGCTTTGAGGGGATTTTATAAGCTTGGACAGCAGCACTGGTCAAGGTTCCTAGATGCAACAGCGGAAGTGCCTAGAGCCAAAGTCAAGCTGGGGCAGCAGATGACCTCTAGAACATTAACCAGCCCATGCGAAGACGATCTCCAGAACATTAACCAGCCCATGTGAAGACGATCTCCAGAACATTAACCAGCCCATGCGAAGACGATCTCCAGAACATTAACCAGCCCATGACTCTTTTGAGGGCCACAGAATCAGGTCTAAAGGCCACAAGATGAGGTCCAAGTTATGACCATGACTGTGCCAGGCCTGGTGGTCTCCCCAGCTAGCAACCCTGGCAAGGGGCAGGGCAACCAACACCCCGACCCCTGCTGGTTCTGAGATGGATGTCTGGGGCCACTCCTGCTCCTAGAGGGCAGGTCATCACTTCATGCCCTTCCTAGTGGAGTCTCACGTGAGGGATCTGATTGGTGCAGCTTGGGTCACATGCCTGCATCTTGGCCTCAGGGAGGAAGGGACTTTAAAACTCCCAAACACAGGAAGCGGGTTCCTCAGTGCTGGACAGCTAAAATCATGATACATGAGGTTGGTGCAAAAGTAATTGCAGCTTTTGCCATGAAAAGTGTCCTGAAGATGCTGATAACAAATCACTTGCTTTTTCTACTTAATGAGGTCTTTTGATCTTTTAACTGGCAGGAACTTTGTGGCCTGGAGTCACCCTGGGGCTGCAGCAAGGTGAGGATGGGCGGCACTGATGGGAATTAGAGGCCACAAGTCCTAGTCCTGGCTCCACCCTTCACTAATCATGGGACTTTGGACAAGTCACTTCAGCAGCTCAACACTGGAATGGGAACTGTGAGGCCAACTTCTGGTTCACAGGCCTGATTGTGAGGGCCACAGGAAACAATGTTCCAGCAACATCTGAACCCAGAATACTGCATGCAAACGTCAAGGGTCATGATCACCGCACACCATGCACTTCTGTTTCTTACTAGTTGAGATATACCTTTTCCCGGGGTTGGCTGGCTAATCTGCCTTCCTGTTATGTCTAAGCGGCTACTGCTGTACTGAGAAGAGATCTTGGGCTAAGAATGTAAACATCAGTTCCAAATGAGACTCTGCATATGGTGGAATAACAGCTCCCTGCACGTGAGGTCATGTGCAAGACCGCTGCCAGCAGAGGCCCACTCCAGACTTGGCGACGAGGCAAGCGGAGATACTCACCACGGATGTTTCAAAACATTCCAGGCCTTGGCCCAGCGCCCATGCCCGGGCCTCAGCTGAGTCCACTGCTCGCCTGCCGACCAGGTCTGTCTTGTTCCCAACTAAAACACCTACTCAGAAGAAACAACCAAAATATGACACTTCACTGTCACAGTCTGGAAGGACAGCGGGCGAGATGAGAGCACTATTTTTGAGGGGTGTAAAGCATCCTCTAAGAGCTGCCCGACTCAAGGTGGTGAGACCCCACAGGGAAAGCTGGGGGTCTCTCGTGCTGGCCCCGACGGCCACAGAGAGACAGGTGGGCTTTGCTTTTCATGCACAGCTTCTGCTAGATCTTTTTTCTAGACCTCATGTATATCTGTTTCCCTTGCCTCCTTCAAGGGCTGCAAACGCGTGAAGGCGAGGGCCAAATTTATGTGAGCCTTTTAATAATTCCTAGCGCATGGAGCAAACTGTAAACTGGTCATTAATACTAATCTAAGGACTCGGCTCGGAGTCAGGGATTCAGAGGTAATTTAGTTCAGCTCCCAGCTGCATCAGCTGCAGCTAATTTTTGAGCCTGTCTCTGGAGATCACTTTCCCCGGTCTATAATGAGGAGAATTTGTTGATTTCACATAGGGACGAAAAATAAACTGATTTAAAGCATTCAGAAGTGACAACAGGACTTGAATGTTTACTTGTACCCCATAGACAAGAGAAAATTAGGAACTCTTCCCTGGGGTTAGCTTTCTGGAATTAACAACTGATATGACAGCACCCTCCCCTTATTGAGTCGCCCCACAGCTCTGCCAGGTGTGTGTCCTCATTCCCATTTCCTAGACTGGGAGAGGTGTGTGTGGGGACTCACCGAGGCTGGCATGGCTGCTAAGTGGCAGGGCCAGTGTATGCCTCAGGCCATCAAAGTCAAAGCCCGGGGCCCCTTCTCCACCCACAGCTGCCTCTGCAATGCCCTTGTGCTCTTGAACCGAAGGACAGCGATGCCTCTGGGAAACATGGGTGTTTGCGGCTCGTACCTGGGAGAGAGGTGCCTGGAGCCTGGGCCCGAGCCTTCTCCAGCCACTTGCTGCAGTTGTTGAAGGACTGTTCACTGGTCACATCATAGACGAGACATAAGACATTGGGACTCTCCCACTGTGCAAGAGGGACAGGACGAGCATGGGTCAGTAACAGGAAAAGTGACTTCAAGGCTGGGAGACAATGTGGCCTTCCAAGGGAAAGGCTATGGGGAGCAGAGGGAAACAGAAAACTATAAAGGGGATGGGAGTCAGAAAACAGCCACACCCACAGAAGTCAAACAATTTCCCCAAAGGAATGAACGGAGGGCCCCGTTGAGTGGCAGGAGGCAGGGCTGGGGCGGTGCCGCCAAGGACGAGAGCTCATGTCTGGGCCAGGCTCTGCTGGGCACTTCTGCGCCTCACTGTGAAGCCTCCCAACGCGGTGGAGTGTCTGAATATTTCCACTTTGTAGCTGAAGAAACCGAATTCAGGGAGGCTAAGTGACTTGTCCAGGCCTGACAGGCTTTAAAAACAATGACAACGATGACAGAGATGGGGGACGACTGAGGTCTTCTCTACCCAGAAATCTGCTTTCACCTGTGGCTGGCCTCGTTCAGTCATTCTCCACTCATTCTCATCGAGAGCCCACCACCATGCAAGTTATGTTTCTGTGCTTTCCAGCCCTGAAAGAAGATTCTTTCTTCATTAGCCAGCCCTGGGAGCTTATTTGCTTGTATCTTCTTAATAAGGGCTGGCTTTTTAAAATGCAGAGGACACTTTCTGCTTCTCTTGCCATCCCTGCATCAGCCTAATCCAAACCACACCGACAACTGGACAGGGCTCCATGACCCAATTAAGAGCCAAGGCTACACTCTTGGGGGCTGTTGCCTTCAGGGGCTGCTCAGAGTCCTGCGATGTCCTGCTGCCTACCCCGATGTCGGATGGCCCTGTACAGGCTGTGGGTACGCACCCTGGTGCCTGTGACTCTTGGTCATGCCCTGGTTTCTGGATCCCCCAACCTTGCACAATTAGGACCTGGTTTATTTCTGGGGTGTCAGTAACCTTCCAGGATACAGAGGAGAATTCTTTTCCCTCCAGATTGGATTCCCTTTTGGATCCTTGGAAGGCCAGTCCAGAGTCCATTCTAGAGGGCTCCTCCTCACCCTATAAGGCTGTGCTGGCTCCTAGCAGTGTCCGGGATGGGAGGACCGTGAACTAAACTGATGAACCCTTCACTCCACAGATTAACTCTTGAACTCTTGCTAGAACACACTGAACTCTGTTACATGCATGCAGGAGATATCTCAGCATGGTTTTAACTCAAGAAACCCTCCTTCTTCCAGGCTTCAGTGAGGGGATCCTGAAGAGGCCGGGGCATCAAGTTAAAGCCAGAGCGGGTGAACCGGGAGTCAGGGCCGGCTGGAGGGAAGGGTGTGAGCTGACGGCTGGCACATGGCCTGGATTTGCCCAAATACATCTTCCCTTCTGCTGGGCATGGCAGCCCCAGTGCCAGGCCATGCACACAGTAGGCAATTGGGGTGAACATCGTGAACCGATGCGTGAAGCCAACCCTGTATGAAATCACTATCATTAGATATACTTCTCTTAGGCGACAAAAAAAAAGGGGCAGAAAACAGTTTCCATTAAAATGTGGCTGTTCTTGGAAAGGCAGGGGAGGGCTCTGGAGAACTCAAACCTTCTAATTAGCTCACTGGCCCAGATTAGTGAGACTGTTACCATGGAAGGTACAGCAAGCGGATCCTGCGAGGCTGGTGGGACGGGGGTGGATGGGGCGTGGTGAGCCCTGGGCAGCAGCAGGGGCATTTCCCGGAGAAAACCCCAGTGGAACAGCAGAAAGTGAGCCTCATTATAGGCTGAGGCCTCTATAGCACTTCCCAGAGGGGAGGAGGCAGTCTGTACTGTCCTGGGAGGTAGGGGACACCATCTGAAAGGACACCATCAGGAGGGTGTTGCTCTAAAGGAGGGAGGCCTCACAGGGGAGGGCTGCAAGGACTGAGCCGCAAGGCTCTTGGCCCATTGGATCCTGGGCACCCCGAAGCTGGGGCCCGGGCAGGCACGCGCGTCAGCCGCTTCTTCTTGCCAAGTAGCCACGAGTCCTGGGCTGGGAGGAACGCCCCTTAAAGAGGAATGCCATGGGAGCTTCCCAACAGCACAGTGCAGGGAAACTGCTGTGTGAGCACTGTCAGGGACCAGCGTTTCGGCAGGAGGTGGTGATGGTCAGGAAGAAGACCATGTGCTACTTGCCAATTTATCCAGCATTTCCGAAAACAGCTCCTTGCCAGCAGAGTCGAAAATGAAGAGTTCCTACAATCAGAAAAGCAAGAAAGTCTCCACATGGAAAAACCACAAGCTACGAGTCATTGGTATCACTCTCAGCTCACACTAGACTTGTCTTAGGGGTGAAATACAGGCACCCACATCTTCACACATGCTCTGTCCTTTCTCCCAGGCACGAGAGAAGATGACGGGGAAAGGAGCGAACTCCAGAGTCTTAGAGACGGTTCTCGCACCGACCAGCACTTTCTGTGTGGAATCTCACCTCTTGTAACCCTGAGTGCAAAAATACCAGGAACAAGCTGACTTCCCACCTGGCAGAACAGAATGTTAAACAGGCCGGCGAGCGCTCTGGTTTCCAAAAGGTCATTCTGCACTTTGTTAACCAAATTGATTTTCAAATCTTAGAACAATTCTTTCTAAAGGAGGTCACCGAGTAGGCCTGGGGAAGGTGTTTAAAGTAGGACATTCTGTCACCCTTCTGGGATGGCTAAGGAGTGATGCAGACAGAGGGTGCGGGATGACCCTTCCTGCCCTGTCCAAACCTTCCCCAGCTCACGTGAGAGCCCCCAGGGCTGCTCCCCTAGGAAATCACCCCTTGGCTCCCCACCAAGCTCCCTCCTGGCACTGGGTATTTCCTGGCTGGCCTCTGATCCCCAGCATATGCCGTCTGAACATCAGTGCCACGGTCTGTTTTGCATATTGGTTACCTGGGCACTCACCTTTCTCTTCATCAGAAGTACTTATACTTTTTTTTTTTTTTTTTTCTCAGACCTCTTTAGGAATCTGGTGAAAGCTACAAACCCTCTCTCTAGAAAAGTACACACAAACATAAAACCTTGCAATCCACTTTCAAGAGCCCCAGGTTCCCATACAGAGACTCAAGAACCTTGATAGTAGAGAACAAGTTCTTTGAGGGCCAGGCCCATATCCTAGTCCTCCTTCCTGCCTCCTCCACCTCCTCAGTCCCTCCCCTGAATGCTTCCCGATTCTATTCCGAAATGCTCAGACAAGTCCAGGGCACAGCCTTGCCCTACATCTCTCCTAGGGAGGGTGGTGTGACCACAGAGACCCTGGGCCCAGCTGGGGGAGCCCTGAGTTCCCTTGGGTAAAGGCATCACTCACCACACTGTCTCCCGTGTCAGGAACTGGCACTGTCTTCACCACCAAATCCATTCCTGTTGTCTGCCGAGGAACACCAAGAATGTTAGCATTGAGGGCCCCCAAAGCGGGAGCCTGTTACAGGAGGACACATAAGCACCCCGATCCCAGGGGGGCTATCTCCAGTGGAAGGGTTTGTTCTGGACTCATTCTGGTGAGAAGCAGCTCAGTGTCCCGAAGTCAGAGAGGACCCACTAGTCCTCTCCACCTCCCTGCCCCGACATGAGCTGCTACACATGGTGGCCAAGTTGCTTGTGGCCAGTCTGCTCTGTAGCCGACCTCTCACCCTGGGCTAGTGGAAAAAATGATCTCTACGTGGCCCTCCGAGCAGCCTCTCATCAGCTGTCTTAAGGCTTCTTCAAGGAACCGCAGTCACTCACTCACGGTGACTGAGCACTTCTCTTTAAGCCATGGCCAGGTCTCGACCCCCCAGCTCACCAGGGTGTAGCTCTTCTGGAAATGGGCCCCGTCACTGCGGAAGATCTGCGCCAGGGCGGTCTTGCCCACTGCTGGGTCTCCTGTGAGGTCAGAAAAGAAGAAAAAGAACGCCTCCGTTCTCATCCGACTTGAGAATCTCTCACTGCAGAACATTAGTCTAGAAACCAAAAACTTCAGTGAGTTTTGAGAGATGTACTTGCCTCTCACAGGAACTTGTTCGGAGGCCGTGGGCAGGGCACAGGTCCGTGAGACTGATCTGCAAACCTCACAGCAGCCAGAGCACATTCCTGCATGGCTAAGCCTTTTATCCACGGGAACTGACCCAGAAGGTAACAGAGCTTACGGAGGGCTCTGGGGCCCTGGAAATGGAACTGACGCTCTCCCACTGAAACACGCCCTATGGGGAAAAGCTGTCACTTCCAAACTGGAATTTACTTTCAAGTCTTGAAGGTAAAGAAGTGTGACTGGCACTGACAGGCAGACTCACCTGTCAACTGACCCAATCTGGGTTGACAGCTTCCACCTGAATACTATTTTGGGTGGGGGGTCAGGGATGGAAGGGTCTCTGCGTTTGTGGGAAGCAAGAAGTATGAGGCTATGTTCATCATCCTGAAATCTCTTTCCAAATGCTATGCTCCGTCTCCATCGCGGAGTGCCCGTCTGTGACCCGAGGATTCATCTTCCCAGAGGCCTCTCCACCAATTCTATTTGCAATAGCAGTCACCTCCTCCAAGCTCGTCTCTCACCTACTGGCTTTATCTCCCTCTCCTCTGCTGCTCAACAGCCCCAGAAACTGGTCCCTCAGAACTAAAGGTTTATGTCGCAGTTTTCGGTCTCAGACCTGAGCCTTTCACAAGATGGCTGGGCGCCATTTAATCGAGCGCTTCTCCTGTGCCCGTCACAGGTGCTGGAAGCTCTCCCTGTCTTTAATTTCCCTTTGCCCTCCCCATTTTCCATCTCATGACTCTGCTGAGCCTCCTTTGATGCCGATTCTTTCCATGTTCTACCTCTTTTCCTCCTGAGTCTTACATGAGCCTCCTTTGATGCTGATTCTTTCCATGTTCTACCTCTTTTCCTCCTGAGTCTTACATGGACTTGCACTCCACCGTCCAGGCCCTGGCAGAACACGTGCTTTCGGCTTCTCATCCTCAGGATGCTTAGCAAAATCAGCACCGCACTCCGCGGCTTCCAACTCGTATCACTTGGTACTGTCTCTTCACCTTTGCTTCCCACTTTACAGTCGGCTTCAACACTTCTTTCCTCAACTTCTCGACAGTCTGCCACTGTTCGCTTTTCAGTTTTGACTTTTCCCACCTATAATTTTCTCTTGTAAGACAATTATTTCAATGCTTGTGTCATTTCATTTTATGTGAACTCCTCCAGGTTTGAGTGAGCTATTCAGGTCCTGCTTTTCTATTTGTCATCACTCCTTAGAAGGGAACCAACAAGTGCTGAGCCCCCCTCATGGACCTGCTCACACAATCCCATTCATTCCTTCTCCGCCAAGGTATCATTAACCTCACCTGACAGATGAAGAGACTGAGGCTCAGAGAGGCTGGGTAACTTGCCCGGGATTCCAACCTCATGCTCTTCCCAGACCTTGCCCCTCTCCTAGAGCTCAGGGACCACTTCTGATCCTTTTCTTGTTTTGAGACGGAGTCTCTGTCACACAGGCTGGAGTGCAGTGGCGTGACCTCGGCTCGCTGCAACCTCCGCCTCCCGGGTTCAAAGTGATTGTCCTGTCTCAGCCTCCTGAGTAGCTGGGACTACAGGTGCGCACCACCACGCCCAGCTAATTTTTGTATTTTTAGTATAGACGGGGTTTCACCACGTTGGCCGGCCTGGTCGTGAATTCTTGACCTCGGGTGATCTGCCTGCCTCTGCCTCCCAAAGTGCTGGGATTACAGGCATGAGTTCTGACCCATTTTTAATGCTGCCCCTCCAGGCCCTCCTCACTGCAGCCTTCCATGACATCTGGGGCAACCACAGCCTAGACCGTCACGGGGTACCCGTCCATCTCGGAGCAAACAGAGCGCGTCGCTTTCCTTCCTTGGGCCCTGACTGCGCCCGCCCTGCCGACTCCAGTTCTGCTCCTGAATCCAGCTGGAAATCGGCTCCTTCTGCTTATGAGATTCCTCACAGATTTGTTCTGGTTAATTTCATAAATCTTTCCTCTGACTGTCAGTCACAGTCACCAACACTTACAGGAAACCGCCTGTGTTGGCTATGAGGGCTCAGAAGCACAGGGAGGTGAAATAACTGATAAACACATTTGCAGAGCAACAGGATGACAAGTGCAAATTCAAATAGCACAAACTGAGAAGCAAGGCGTCTGGGGAGCATCGAGGAAAGAAACGAATGAGAGGGTTCACTGGGGAAGGAGGCTTCCCTAGGGGCAAGGGCTGGGCCTGGGGGTGACAGCAGGCAGGGCTCTGCAAGACCGAGAGGATGACGTCTGCAAGGGCACGATGTGAGGTCACCTGTGACCTCACAGTTGCCAAGGCCGATGGCCTTTTCTTGGTTCTCATCCTCCTTGACGTCTCTGAAGGATGTGAGTCAGCCTGAAGCGACCCCTTCCTTCCCGAGTCCGGTCCCCATGGCCTCAGTGACCCTGCCCTGGCCTGGTTCTCCTGCCATCTGCCTGCCCCATGCTCCCCGAGTGTAGGCATTCCCACAGGCCTGTCCTCGGTTGCGCTCTGCTCCCAGTCCACTCCATCCCACTGACTCTTGTCACCTTGACAGAGGGCAGGCTCTCCCTCCCAAGCTTTGTCTATATATCCAAAAACCCGTGTGCATTGCCAGTTGCCATTAGAATGAAGGATCTTCCTCCAACCTCAGTCTGTCTACGGCCAAGCTCTGTCATGCCCTGGTCTTGAGTGGGTCATCCCCCTCGCCCATGCTTTCTATTCGTGATGCCACCATGTATTTTCATCGTCCCCAGATTCAACAGGTCACCTCTGACTGCTCCTCCTCCTTCCTCCTGTCTCCAGGCAGCCTCCCTTGCATTCCTCACATCCTTGGCTGAGTCTCAGCCCATCTCTGCTCGGCCCTCCCTGCTGACCCCGCCGCCCCAGTTAGCTCAGACCTCACGGCTGGGTTTCTGTCTCAGCCTCAAGTCCTTCCGTGGTGTGCTGGAGAGGGGGCCTCTGCAGACACGTTTCTCCCTTGCTAGGAGCTTCCTATTAGGTGTTGCCAATGGGAGTTCTGGAAGAAGAGGGGAAGGCCGGCGTCAGGGGAGAGGACGTTGCTCTTCCCGCCTGCTTCTCCTTTTTCTTAGCACTACCCTAGCAATGGCCTGCACCCCAGCAGCACTAACTGCTTCCGGTCTTGGTTTTTTTTGTGTGTGTGTGTTTCCCTACTCCTAGACCAGCCTTATTGTTGCCCCCAGAGGAACCAGCACCAGTGGGCAGTGCCCTCTTCTCAGAGATCCACACCTCGGCTCCCAGGGCCCCTCCTTCCTGCTTCTGGGCTGAGAGCCCCACATGCTTCCCTCTGCTTCCCCAGCCCGAGAGGCGGTGCTCCTTCCTGCAGTTACTACCCGTGCTGCCTCAGTCTCCCCCTTTTCCTCTTCCAGTCCTCCAGCACCTCTGTCATTAACATCCTACTGAAATCCTCACCATTGAAATGCTGAGTAGAGTTGCTGGTTTTTGCCTGGCCCCTGACTTATGTAGTCCTTGGTACCGAGAGTGGTCTTAAAACATAGACCCTCCAGGATGATTTGGAACTGGTTTGGCGTGTCTTGCCCTGAACACAGGGCTGGGCTCCTCCCAGTGGGAAATGGGTCCTGGTGCTCTGTGGCATGTGCTGGAGTCCTGCGGGGGGTGACTGAACTCCTGAGGTGCTGGCACCCGCCGGGCAGGGCCCCTTCTTCAGGGGTCCGGATCCCAGCTCCCTGGGGCTCTTCCAGCTTCTGACACCCCCGACCTCTGCCCGCCATTCTGCGTCATCTCAGTGCTGCCTTCTTGCTTCCTCAGTTCTCCACCGCCTGATGAACCGATTCCATATAATACAATGTCTCTGCTGAAATGGCGACTGCGTTTTCTGTCTTCCTGACTGTGCCTTCACTGAAAACACTTCTCTCCTCTTCTTTCTCTCTCCCAGCTCTAATCCGCCCAGAGCGTGGCATCCACAGATGGACCCTCATAACACAGTGCCTCCATCTTGGCAAACCTTCACACAAACCCCACTGAGGATTCCTTCATGGCCTACCCATCTCCACGGTCAGCCCTAACCCACCTTCCCACTCTTTCCCCAACAATCCCTTACCCCAAATCTGGGCTCTGCATTCCTGTTCTCCCAGTCCCTGAAAATTCCTCAAGGCCACCTCCTTCCAGGTACCCCTAGACCAAATTCAAATCCCGTCCATTCGCTGCAAGGAAATCTCAAATAATACCCTTCCTGCACAGCCTCTGAAGGCCATCTCTCCCTCCTTCGTCTTTATCTGTGTGGCTAATGTGGATCATTGCTCAGCGGCAGTGCAAGATGTGATGTCAGAGCAACCCTCCCAGGAGGCTCTATTACCATCTCCATGTATATCAAGAGGCAGAATATCACGGTATTTAAGGGCACAGACTGTGAAGCCAGATTCCAGCTCCATCACTTTCTAGCTGTGTGACTTTAAATCAGTGAGTTAACCTCTCTGTGCCTCAGTTGCAACATGTATAACACAGGATAATCATAGCACCTACCTTGCAGAATTGTTATGAGGATTTAATGAGTTAGTATGTACAGTGCCTGGCATAGATAAGTACTATTTAAGTGTTTTTTTAAAAAGTAAATAAAATATAGATCAACGTCAAATGTTGTTTTCTCTCTTCTCCAGAACCAGAACAAGCAGCAGCTGTGCCTGGAGGTATTTCCCTGCATCTGGCACACAAAGGGCATTTGCTTTGTGTTCGCTGTGTTAGAACTTATCACGTGCATCTTAATTCTTCCTTGAATGCAACCGCTTCATGCTTGCATGCCCACTGCACCTTGCACGGTGACTTAGACACAGCAGGTGCCCAGTGAGTATCTGTTCAACGCATTAACACTTGAACTGAACATCAGGTCCTTCAATGACTAGTTACGTGACAGAAAAAACAGAATAACACAGTTTCAGCAGTAGGGCTGTGGGTCATGGATGGAAAAACAAAACCAATGGTGTGTGTGTGGCAGGGGTGGGTGGGGGGGTGTCAAAGGGGGTTGATTTCTGGGCTGAGGTCTTTTGGCCCCTGGGAACTTTCAAGAGGAAATGCTGTGGAAGCCTTGAAGAGGCTGCAGATTGAGGCGCAGGCTGGAGTTCAGGAGCCATTAACTAGGCAGTGGCTGCATTCAGGTGAAAGAACTGCCCGAGGGAGTTGGGGTAAAGAAGGGCACAAAGAGGCCAGGCATGGTGGGTGGCTCACGCCTGTAATCCCAGCATTCTGGGAGGCTGAGGCAGGCGGTTCACTTGAGGTCTGGAGTTCGAGACCAGCCTGACCAACATGGCGAAACTTCATCTCTACTAAAAATACAAAAATTAACTGGGCATGGTGACGTGTGCCTGTAACCCCAGCTGCATGGGAGGCTGAGTTGGGAGGCGGAAGTTGCGGTGAGCTAAGATTGTGCACCACTGCACTCCAGCCTGGGAGACAGAGTGAAATTACGCCAAAAGAAAAAAAAAAAAGAAAGGGCCGGGCGCAGTGGCTCACCCCTGTAATCCCAGCACTTTGGGAGGCTGAGGTGGGCGGATCACCTGAGGTCAGGAGTTCAAGACCAGCCTGGCTAACATGGTGAAACCCCGTCTCCACTAAAAATACAAAAAATTAGCCAGGCATGGTGGTGGGTGCCTGTAATCCCAGCTACTTGGGAGGCTGAGGCGGGAGAATCGCTTGAACCCGGGAGGCGGAGGTTGCAGTGAGCTGAGATTGTGCCATTGCACTCCAGCCTGGGCTACGAGAGTGAAATTCCATCTTAAAAAAAAAAAAAAAAAGACAGAAAAAGGCCCAGAGGAGCACAGCTTGAGGACAGTGTAGCTTCGGCTAAAGCCCTGGAAATCAGACTAGGCCAGGGTCTGGACCTTACAGCTCTGCCGCTTCCAGCTCTGTGACCCAAGGCAAACGTTCTCATTTTTCTGGGCCTCAGTTGCCGCATCTGTAGATGAAGATGGCAATAAGACCAATCCCCCAGGGTTGCTATGAGGATTCAGTGAGACCACCTGTACCGAGGGTCTAGCACCGAGCTGATGCACCCAAAGTGCTCATTAAGTTAGCTCCATGATGAAAACCGAATTTAAAAAGAACACAGAGAGAAGCCCATTTAAAAAAAAAATGTAACTTCAGAAAATAATGTTCCCACCTTATCCATAAGGAAATTAAAGCTCAAAAAAGTGCTTTGTCCAAGATGACACAGCCAATAAGAGGAACAGGCAAAATTACTTTTGTTACACAACACTGCCTCCTCTGGTGTTCTGGAAACTGGAGACTCTCCTGAGAACCATTAATTTCTTTTGCTCCAGTATGATTCCGTTACTACTGTCAGTCATCTTTCTGTGTGACCCTTTTATTTTCAAATTATAAAAGCCATTAAAAATATCATAATTTATTCTCAGTCTGGAAGAGGGCAATTTTTTAAAAAAGAAATCTTTTTCTCTATATAATGTCTCACCACTTCTTTCCTGAGCTGGCCAGGGAAGCCTGGAAAGGTCACAGGTTTGAACAGAAACACGAGTTAAGAGTTCTGGAGTTGGGCAGATCGAGGGGCTGAAATCCTGCCTAGGAGCTTCACTAGGGGTTGACCTTGGCTGACATCTCTCAGTGCTTCAGTAAGATCACAACAATCCAGTACCTGGCCGGGCGCGGTGACACATGCCTGCGATCCCAACACTTTGCGAGGCCGAGACGGGCGGATCGCCTGAGGTCAGGAGTTCGAGACCAGTCTGGCCAACATGGTGAAACCCCGTCTCTATTAAAAATACAAAAAAAAAAAAAAAAAAAAATTAGCCGGGCATGGTGG